CCCCAAGGGACCTCCCCAGCGGCTTCTACCCCCCCCCAGATCTGGTGCTGGGTGGGAGGGAGAGAGGGGCCAGGCTTGGGTGAGAGAGCCACAATCCCCAACAGCGCTGAGCACGGCGAGCTCATCACACCAATGGTGAGACAGCAAAGGGGGCACAACCACCCTCCTCCTCCCCACGCAGCCCCCCTGGGCTGGCTCGAGGGGGGGGGGGGGGGGGTGATGAAGGGACCCCCTCCCATGGTGGGGGGGCATCAGTAGACACAGCCCCGCAGCCGCCCGAAGGTGCGCTCCAGGTCATCGTTGGTCAGGCTCAGGTCGAAGTAGTGGCCGTAGCCGCGCTGGATGCGGTTGCTCTCCTCCACCGTCCGCCTGGCATTGGCCTCCTGCCCCGGCACAAACCCTGCCTCAGTTTCCCCATTGCTCTCCTCCATCTCGGCCTCTTGCCCTAGCACAAACCCTGCCTCAGTTTCCCCATTGCTCTCCTCCATCTCTGCCTCTTGCCCTAGCACAAACCCTGCCTCAGTTTCCCCATTGCTCTCCTCCATCTCTGCCTCTTGCCCCGGCACAAACCCTGCCTCAGTTTCCCCATTGCTTCCCTCCACCGTCCACTTGACATCAGCCTCCTGCCTCAGTTTCCCCATCACTCTCCGCTGTCCCCTGTCCCCGGGTTGGTCACCCACCGTCAGCTGTTTGGTGGCCACGCCACTCTCCAGCGCCGCCCGGTTCATGGCCCGCAGCGTCTCGGGACCGGGGGCTTCGATGAAGACCACGTATGGCACGAATTCAGCCGTTCTCAGCACCTTCACCGCCTGGGCACGAGGGGATGGCATTGAACCCCGGACCGGGGGACAACCCCAGCCAATTTTTAATGTCCTACACCATGTTCCCTACCTGGGGGTTGACGTCCAGGATGCACATCTTGCCGCTGTCCACCACGGCGCGGATGGAGTCGATCTTGGTGCCGTAGAGGTTGCCCTCATACTCGCCGTGCTCCAGGTACCGCCCGGCCTTGATGTCGGCCTCCATCTCTCCCCGCGACACGAAGCGGTACCCGTGTCCGTCCTTCTCGGTGTCCTTCGGCTTCCGCGACGTGTCTGGGGACGGCCACCTCAGTGCCACCCGCCCTGGGGTCCCACCCTGGGGGGGCACCCACGGCCAGAGGGGACGGGCACAGGGATGTGGTGCTGCACGCCCAGACGGGTTGGGCTGCACTGGGGATGGGGATGGTCACAAGGGACGGGGATGCTTGTGGGGACAGAGATGCTCATGGGGGCAGAGATGCTGGTAGGGGACAGAGATGCTCATGGGAGACAGGGAAGTTGGAAAGGGACAGGAATGCTCTTGGGGACAGGAATGCTGGTGGGGACAAGGATGCTGGCAGGGGATAGGGATGCTGATGGGGACAGGGATGCTCGCAAGGGACAGGGATGTTGGAAGGGGACAGGGATGCTGGTGAGGGACAGGGATGCTGGAACAGAGACAGTGGCAGGGGATAGGGATGCTCATGGGGACAGGGATGCTGGTGGGGATGACGATGCTCCCAGGGGACAGTGACACTGGTGGGGACGCAGGGACACTCACAGGGGATGGTGGTGCCGTAGCGTGCCTGGTCGGCCATGATGAGTTTGTTCTTGAGGCTGCGGCGCCCCACGCCCTGGGCGCCGATGAGCACCAGGGTTTTCCGGCGGAAGGGGGGCATTCGTGCCACCTCCTCGTAAATCAGCAGCTCGTGGCGGTCGAACTCTGCGCGAGGGACACGGCTGTCACCCACGGGGACCCCAGGGCACCCTGTCCCGTGAGGTGCCACCACGAGCCTGCCATTGGCACGGCTGGGGGACTGTCCCCTCTTCCCCGAAGGGACACTCACCGGCGTTCTTCGTCGTCAGGTACATCATCCTCTTCTTCCTCTTCCCGCTGAGGCTGCCACACAGGGCCCCTGCCGAGGGCACGGGGCTGGCTGGGCTGGGGG